GAAAATCAGGTTGATCTCAACAACCTCAGCTATCTGCCAGCCCGCTCCAGTGAGGCTTAGTTCTGACTCGGTCCTGCACGGATGTGTCCTTTCCAGAGCAGTGAAACAGCCCGCTGCTCTGACAGGCTGCTGCACACAGAGAAAGGACTGTCCAATGGCTGCCATAGGGACCAAGTGAAGCAGAAAGAGGCAACACCAGCTTCTACGAGGGGGGGCCCATTCAAGCACAGCAGATTCAGGGGGATTTAGGAAGCTCGTCTGCCAGCAATAAAAGGCTGAAACAGGATACTTGGTGAGATTAATTGCCTAGATAGGCCACGATAATGCCATTTAAATGGGAAAGTAATTAAAGTGCACCTTCCATGAAAATTATTCATTGCTGACGGATTGGGTGACAGACAAATCAGGAGGCATTTACAGAAAAGCTACAGGTTAAGTGCTCCGAGCTGCTGCTCTGAGATCACCACGGTTTTATTGCAGCTGTTGAATCGGACTGCTTTGCCCAGCTCTCATCAAATTACTGCGAGCATGTGGAGCAGTGGGGGGTGGGGGGTGAAAAGAATGGGCTCCCAGGTAACGTAAAACCGGGGACAAATGCTACAAAGGAGGATCCGCTTAACTAAAGAATTACACTGGCTGGCAGTGGTCGGCGGGGATCGCTCCGAATCAATCAATCCTTCTGTTTAAGGCCACCATGGCAGATTAGAACACAAGAGGAATAAATCAATGGCCCTATTGTTCCCAAGTGTTACTTTCACAAATGCACTGAACAATATCCATTTAGTGATGATAAAGTGTCAATAAAGTGGCCGTATAGATTACCACTGTGGATCTGGGGTATCAATGTACTCCCATGAGCATTTCTTATTTGAATGATGGTGGCTCTAGGTAAGTAATTATGGAATCAGGCGAGAAACTCTGCCGTCTCCTTCTCTGAAGTCCAGATGCAAACATGCTGCAGGACAGTGGCAGCCAAACAAAACGGAATATCTGCTTCTCACGCAAAGCAACGGCAAGCGGGCTTTTCAGATCAAAGTCAAATGCTTAGCTTACATTCTTGTGTGCCTCGATGCTTTGTTTTCCTTTCGCATTGAGGGATTGGATGGGGAAATTGTCTTTGAATGTGCAATTAGGTTTGAACTTGAGGGAGATTACAACATCATCTTATATCACGCGGTGTTGCACAACAAATGTAGCCAAAAATAGAAAAAAGAAGAAACACTAAGAAATTGATGATAAAAAAATCTTCTATTTCAAAAAAATATGAATAAATGTTCCAGGAAGCCAGGTTTAACATGCTCCACCTGATCATGTGTATGTTGATCTTTATTTGAGAATGGCAGCTTCTACATGGCCCGTTCAGACTCCAGGTGAGTGCCCGTGCCGCAGTAACCTTTACGGAGAAGTCACAATGGCAGCATCACAATATGAAGGGTGTGTGGCTGCTTCCTGTAGTGGTGGATGCATTTTCTTGTGTAAAAGGGGAGTGTTGCTCTTTTTAGGCTTCAATGGAAAATATATGTTAAAAGCCAACAGTGACACACCCTGTGAGAGAACACCCTTCTTGTGCAGGTTTTAAATGATTGTGCAAGCATTGTGGCTCTCTCTGTTAAATGCCCAAACGGACTCGTTTATCTGAGCGGCAAAAAGGCAACATACTGACATTTTGAAATGAGTCTTGCTGGACGACCACAGCGTTCTGTGAAATCTAGACAAAGTCACCATAGTCTAAATAATGCATTGCTAAGCCACACCCACTGTGTTCTGCTCTGACTCACCCATGTGTAAACTTCAGAGCACTATTGTAAAAGTTGCTATCGCAGTGTAACAGGCTGCGTGCTGCTGGATGGCGCATTGCCAATTAAAATCTATTTCCACAGGCTCTTCCTTTCTCTCACTATATTGTTCATAGCTCGTTCTGATCGCACCTACACCCCATTGCACTGGTTCCAAGCTGAGCATGCTCATGCAGTATGCACACACACACACACACACACACACACACACACACACACACACACACACACACACACACACACACACACACACACACACACACACACACACTCACACACACACACACACACACCGACACACACACACACACCACACACACACACACACACACACCACACACACACACACAGGTCCTGTCGCCTTTCCCATAACCAATTTCACATCCTATTTTTGCACCTTCTCCAGTGATTTTTCTGGCACAGAGATGTGAGCATCCGCTTGAATAAATATTAATGGTTATTCTATGAGCAGTGCCCACTCAGAAAAGAGCAGAAAGAACAAAAGGCCTTGTTTACAAGTATGCTTGAGGAACGCTCAGGCATGGAGGGCCTCTGAGGGGGCTCCGTGGCGCTGCCGACTCACAATAGAGTGCTGATTGAAACACACTCTTAACTTCCAGCATACATCGAGGGTGAAGACGGCAAAAATTCTCAACATGACCAATTTCTATTCAAGCGCTGCAAGGACTGAGCTGCAGAAATCAGGCTTATGAACTCGCAGCCTCTACTTAAACTCATTTAAGACGGAGCTGAGAGGTAATTAGGTTTCTGGGAACAATAAGCACTCAGCACCTCGTGCAGCTCCAGACCTTTCCTCTGTTGTAATTAGGAGAGGTGTGAATTCCTCATCAGATGGATCACCATCTGCATTCACACACTGCATGTTCATTCCCCCAGTGCTAGGCTACGAGACTATGTTCCTGCTGATTATCATGCACGAGGAGGAGGTAGGGAAGCACGGAGGAAAGGCTTCTCTGTTTAAGGTTCTCTCGGTGCTATAGGATCCAGCTTCTCGCCATGCAAAGGTTAATCAATTCTGAATGATAAGCCATAAAAGCTTTAATAATGCAGCCATTCTCTAATGAGTGGTCCTGCACGCTCGTTCAGGGAGGGCAGATTGTTTTTTAGGAAGCTCCGACGTTCCAATTACATAAAGCTCAAGCCCAGTGAGCGCTGGACTCAGCGAGGGGAGCTGCTGAGAAGGGAATCAACAGGAAGCCATCACATGACCATCAAGACCAACGCTGGTTATTAACTGGCACTAGAGATGAGATTATACAGAGAAAATCATTTTGATAAATGAATTATCTTTCTAATTTACACACAACATGTATTGTGTGTTTATCCATGTTTCTCTGAAGGTAAATCTCTCCCTGAGCTGTCCTACCACTGAACAGATGGACTGGCCTCCTTGCTTTAAAGAGCTGCTAATCCAGAAGGAATATGACCAGTCTGCTTTTCAAATGAGTATTTCGTTTTGTATCGTGGTCTCAATAGGGAGAATATATAGATGTCGATTGACTGAAAAATATAAGATTGGAAAACTTGAATGCAATCGATCAACAAAATAACCAGCAACCTGACCCATGCTGGCCGTTACACTGATGAGAGTGACAGCACTTACTCAAAATAATAAACATGACACCATCTTGGCCAACTCTCTTTCATAGTATCTAATGGATCATATTCCGCCGGGTTAACTGTGTAATTGGCTGTTGTCAACATGACACGTGTAATTAGGAGTGACTCTTCAAGAGCAGCTTTTAATTGTTTTTTTCCTCTGGCTTTTTTCCTGCAGGTTATCCACTTCCTGCCATCCGAGTGTCCTTGGCCAGGCGACCCTCTGGCACATTCCAGCGCATCTCTCTGCCACGAGCCGAGCGTGGAGGAAAACATCAACCCAAACGCTGCAGCACACACACACACACACACACACACACACACACACACACACACACACACACACACACACACACACACACACACACACACACACACACACACACCACACACACACACACACACACACACACACACACACACACACACACACACACACACACACACACACACACACACACACACACACACAGCCCCTGTCCTCCTGTCTCTATCACAGATACACACATCGAGTACACAGAGATATTTACTGTGCTAGTGGAAGCTGAGCAGCTTTACACATGGGTGGGACATTCACTCAAATACTGTCCTTAAGTACAACTTTGAGGTACTTGTACTTTACTTGAGTATTTCCATTGTATGCTATTATGTGCTTCTACTCCACTACAGTTCAGAGGTACATGGTGTATTTCTACTCCACTACATGTATTTAATACCTTTAGTTTCTTCACAGATGTGGATGAATGATGTGAAATATAATCAAGTGTTAAATCAGACTTTAGTTCCACCTGGAGTAAATCCACCAGCTACCCTGCAGTATACAAAGTCATTCAAACTAGCTGCACCTTTACCAGCTTTGAGAACACTTTCATGATCAATCATTATAAAACATATCATATACATTATTCTGAAATGGATCAATCTGCACAACGACTACTTTTATAGATGTTTACTTGAGTGACCTTTTTGAATTCTGGACTTTTACTTAAAAGTATTCCTACACTCTGGTACTTCTATTTTAACTTAAGTACAAGTTCCGAGTACTTCTCCCACCTCTGGCTTTACATTACATTAAGGTGGTGACATTCTGTAAAGAACCGATGATGTGGCAGGACATGATTGGCTGACACATGGTTCTACATCCAGCTGAAGCTCCCCTGCTCTCTATGCAGCCTTTTTTAGTCACCCCAGTCAGAACCCTCTTTTGGGCCGACTGTGTTTCATGGATGCTCAAGCATGAAAGAGGAATCTTGTTTGGTGGATCCATAGAAATAATGAATAAAAAAGGGCTTTAGACTTTGTCACTGGAAAATACAGCATTTTAATGAGAGTCCACTCCCCAGAGAGTGAGCTCTTTACGTACCACTGGGGGTTCACTTCATCGCCAAGCTATGAATGTTATGCATACTGGATATATACGTATTATGGATTTGATCAGACTATTAAATGGAAGTACTCTAGTAAAGTACAGTACTTGAGTAAATATACTTAGTTATTTCCCACCTCTGGTCAGTTTGACTCCTCTGTGTGTACGGAGCAAACAGACAGACACTGTGCTGATGAGTCGGATGTTCGAGTTCTTACCTGCTTGGCCGGTTGCGATGCTGACGGCGGCGAACAGCCTCTGCGTGCGGCTCAGCTCTGACACCCCGTTGACAGCCTCTACCTCGAAGGTGTAGTTGGCGTGGGCGAGCAGGTCCATGATGCTCACGTAGGACTCCACTAATCCTGCCTGCGCAGGGGAGAAGCCCACGTTGGGCCCACACTGGACGCACTCCTCCGGCTCCCAGCTGCAGCGTCGGCAGATCACCCGGTACGTCACGTCGTTGCGGCCCCCGGTGTCGGCCGGGGGGCTCCACTCCAGGCTGACGGAGGTCTGGTTGATGTTGTAGACCAGGTTCTGAGGCGCCGAGGGAGGTCCTGTCAGAGGTGGACACAGAGGAAGCTAAAGTTATACAACTGAGTGCCAGGAGAAGCCAAGAGTGTGCATTGACTGAATCTGTTCTCTGAGAGAGAACAACACAATGCAGGACATGCCAGCTCCCGCCCCGCGGCCACACACTGACACTCAATTATAATAAGAGTAGACTCAGATCCAGAGAAGCATAAAAAGTACAGGTGCACCGACAAAGTCAGCTCTGGCAGCACCAAGGTCAGCGTGAGGAGGCAGAGAATCAGGGAGCGGAGCCCAGAGTTTTAATGACATTGATCACCAGATTGGAAAGTGTAAGGACTTCTGCAGCTTACAGTAAGGCCCAAGTAATTGTCTTGTTGTCACAAACACAAACATTGTGTCTCTTTAGACGTACAGTAACGGCCCGTCCACACAGCAGCGTGCGTTGACGCTTGGCGGTGGGCGTGTCTGAAGCTTGGGGATTTTTTGCGAGCAACGCGACCAACAACCAATCACATGAATCTCCCGCCCCCGACATACAAAGCAATAGCAATGTTAAAACGAAGTAAACTGGATATAAAATCCCCAAACAGGCAAAAACCTACCAGTTTCACCCACTGTCTCTGCCACCTCCCTCCATGCCTCGCTCCTCCGGTTTGTATCCCGGTAGATGAACAGAGACTGATCATACAGCACCGGGTGATTCACTACCGCTACAATGAATTTTCCCTCCATTTTTTTGAATATGAGGAAATGACCTGCGTAGTCTCTCCCAGCATACACGCGGTTTGATTGGCTAGCGCTTGTACTGGCAGATTTGCATAAACGGGATTTCATTGGCTGACGCTTCTGCCGAGGCGCCACAAGTTGAACATTGCTCAACTTTTGAAGCGAGCAACACCAGCAACGCTCCACGTTGCTTCCCACAATGCAGTTCGGCTAAAAGTGACGTCACCCCATTCAAAGTGAATGAGCAGAAGCGTTGGAACGCACGCCGCTGTGTGGACGGGTCGTAAGTCTTAATGTCCAACTGATTGTTAGCTTAACTACGACACTTAAAAACAATGGTTAGCTTATTGTTATCTCTCATTGAATGTCCTGTTTTAAAACACTTTAATCATGGATTGAAATGATGCATGAGCATGATACTGACTCAACGTGTTATAACAGGCAGTGTGACACAATGGAAGTCATACCTGAAGCTTCTTAACTTAGAAACAACAATTTACTTGCGAGTCCTGCTAATTGGAAAGTTATTAACTGATCTTAAAGTTCTAAAATTCTTCTACGTTAAGATCAATCAAATTAAAGAACGCCAAATCTTCTGTTCCCGTAATCACTTGAGGGCAAACTGTTCCCCGTTTACACATCCAGCACACGGAACAGACATGGCAATAAATCAATACAAATGTCCCACCTGGTAAATATATGTGTATTCACTCTGCTGGTGAATGGTCTGTTTTGGCCCTTCTAAAAAGTGAGCTGCTAACTGTTCCACTATGTTACCCAGCTCTTTCTAACAGTGTGTGTCTGCTGTTTGGTGCCGGGCAGGGGGAGTACAGCCAGTTTAAAGGCGGCCCGGTGCTGCTGGATATGAGGACGGTGGGAGCAGTGAAAGTTGCCCATCGTAAAACCAAAACACTTAAACTGACCCACAGAGCTGCAGCAGGACCAGACCTTCTTCTTTCCTCCTGCATGTAAATATAGCTGCTGATTCATCCAGATGGACTAAGGGCTGTGTTTACGTAACGATCGTTAACAGCATAAAATCTGCAGCTGCTATGGAAATGATTGAGACCTGGTTACAGGGGGAATCAGAAGCCCTGTACGTTTTCCTGTTCCTAGAAACATTCAACACTCCCCGCTGGAAACAGTGGCTTCACCGGGTTGCCTTAGAGAGGTAAATCATGCAGACAGCAGGACACTTAAAGTTAATGTCCTCCAAAAAAAGACTCAAATCCTGACTTGCCCACAGAATTTATGAAGGAGATTTAAACGTGGATTATCGCCGCGCTGTAACTGCCATATTCAGCTTCACTTGACATACAATAACCAGCAGCTCCATGCTTCAGTGTGCACAGGACCACGGAGCCTGGGAGCAGCCATGAGCTCATCTCGTAAAACAATGAATTACTAATTGCTGCTTTCATCTTTCAAATTCCAGGCGCTTGCCTTTTATGGCCCAGATGTTGATATAAATAAACTCCCCCTCACGCAGTAAAGATTATATGACTTGTGTTCTTTGTTTATGAATGTTTTAGGAACATCCTCATTTTGTTTTCAGGTACTGAAAAAAGGGAAACTTTCACATATTTCAACCTAATATGTTTTATTTAAAGGTAATGTTATTTATTTGCACTAACCTGATACAGTTATGTGAAATCTATTGACATAATACATTTAATCAAAGTCACCGTTTCAGTTATTTCAGTGCAAACGGTTCAGGATATATTCTTTGAGGGAATCTTGGGGAGGGAGTCTCAACTCATTACATGTGTCACATTAACTCACCAAATAGGTGATGCATATGCATAGAGCCCAAACCGCGCTCATTAATACAGCACTTGTTTCTCCCTGTTCCACCCATCCATAGTCATGATTGCGGGGCAGATAAGAGCCGGAGTGTGGACGGGGAGATGAAAGAGCCACCTGTGGCAGGTGAAGTGGAGAGGAGTGACTGCTGAGCAACACTCTTTTATTATAGCATCTCCACGGTATAAGCGATGATAACATCTCACTTGCTCGTGCCGCTCTCCTGAGGGTCGCAGGTGCTCCAGATCAAAGCAGCGATACTTTGGCAACAAGAGGTGAAAGGAAATGTGATTACACTGACCCTGGATCTGTATGACTAGTTTTTGTTGTTTATCTGATACACTGAAAGCTATTATATTCTTACACTAAAGGACTCCTTCAAACTGTAGCTCTCTTTCATGTGCTGGTTTCCACAAGTTGTGTATTCTCGCATAGCAAGAACCTACCTCTACATCGCTGTAACCATCATCACGTGTGGTATATGGAGAAAATACAATACGATCATACACTGAAAACACTGAACCATTGACTTGAATTCAATGAAAATGTCAACATGTCACATCTGTATTGGTTCATTGAAGGCAATGCCTTTTAGGTTCAACTTAATATTATTGCTTTCAACTAACCTAATACATTGATGTAAAATGTGTTGACAAAATATATTTAATTTAGTCAATGTTTCAGTTTTTCAGTGTACTTTATTCTCAGGTCGTGTCTAAAACTGTTCTTGCATCACAGCAGCTCCTGCTGTCACATCAACAGGGACAAATACTAAGACACGATCCCGATCACTGAAGAGAGACACATGACCCTCTAACGTACAAGAGAGAGAAGGCTACAGACATATTTCTCCTGCCTGTTCCGTATCTTCACTTTCCCTTCAGACGTGGTGAAATGACTATTCTTCGCATTTCTTTTGAATCACACTTCTTCTTTTCTGTCCTTGGCCCCACTCTGTTTCTCCATAGATGTTGGGTCTGGACTCAGGAACATGAAACTCACAGATTTGCGCCGCAGCCTAAGCCCTGGCTGACTGTCTGTCTGCTCGTCCCTATAGCTCAGGGGCTTGTCGCTCTTCTTCTTCTTCTTCTTCTTTTCCCTGTCTCTCTCTGCCCCACTCTGTCTTATCTTGTCGTGTTCTCTCCCCTCACCCCTCACCCCTCCTCCCAGTCAAGTTTCATTTCACGGATTAGCCTGCCAGAGCCCCCACAGCCTGAAATGTCTCTATCACTTGCTAGCTTCCCTCCGATGCATTGGTGAGTGTGTGTTTGTGCTTTGATATAGAATAAATGTAGGCACAGTTTAGATTTCCAGCTTTAATGATTTTAAATGCCATTTTCTTAATCTCTTTCATTTTTTGTAAAGCACTTTGAATTGCCTTGTGTTGAAAAGTGCTATATAAATAAACTTGCCTTGCCTTGCCTTAATCAACTGTGTGAATTGAACACTGAAAAAACTGAAACGTAGATTTTAATTAATTGTTTTATGTCAACATATTTCACATAGCTCCATTAGGTTAGTTGAAAGCAATAACATTAAGTTTTAAAAAAACACAGTTTAGTAGCAGATTGTTTCTAGGTCATGTTTCAAAGCCCATCTCCACACTATGCGGAGTTGTGAGACCTGAGTAAATCCGAGCTTAGGAGAGAAGAATCCGGCGCTTATCGGCCTTCAGTGCTCCAGGCCGCCTCACCGCAGCCTATTAGCTGGCTGGGCTCTAATTGGGGAGCAGTTGGGAGGGGGAGGGGGTGGGGGCAGGGGTGAGTGGTATTCAAATCACCCATGAGGTAATCCTGGCTCTACAAATGTGTGTTGTGACCCCGTGACCCTGCCTCTAATGATGTGGCTGCAGTGTGAGGGGAGCAGAAGGGAAGAAGAGGTGGAAGAATATTTTCTTTATCTGAAGGGCCCCTGGCTGCTGTTGTAATAAACACAATCTCAATACTACTTCAGCTCCACACTGAATTCAATCATGGATTTGCTTCGAGCAAAACATGTGTTCTGCCAGCTAAAGGCCCATGTTGGCCCCTGCAGAGCACAATGGCACGTGGACATGAATTACAACGACAGGAAAGCATCACTTAGACTGTGTGGAAAAAAGAAAAGTAAAATGTGTGTTACCCCAACTGCATTGATAAGTGCTGGGACATGTTATCATTTCCAATTATAACATCCAAGTAAACTATAGTCTGGTATTCAAGATATGTTGAGCTCTTTCCAAGCATATATCTTTTAAAAATATGCTTAATCCAATCTGGTTATTTTTTCTGTAGTTTTAGTTATCATTTCTATGGTCTATGTATACATGTAGCCCCCCACCCCACCCCCTTAAGAAACTTGCATATAGATAATGAATGGATGGAATATCTGGTCAGATAAATCAGCTGTGTGCAGAAATAGCAAGCAATCTATAAAGCTAATTCCTATCTATAAGTACATATCATATATATTCAAACTCTATACATGTCGTGATATCAGAATGTCCTTTTTGATGTCACTAACCATTTAAGGTGGACTTACACACCATGGCAGACAGGAAGAGCTGCTAATGTGTTGTTGGCTAGCTATGTTTTGACCAGAGGCAACATGCCCACGCTCAGACTCAGGATCAGTTGTGCAGACCGGAGGAGGCTCTGGCAGACAGACTGAGGCCGACAGCGGGAACACTCCTCTGTGCTCTGTTGTGAAATGAAATCGACTGTTTTCCTTGGCCAAGCCTTTCAATAAATGTTGTAAGACATTATTTTTCCAGTATTAAATACAAAAAAGAACAATAGAAGTATAGAATGAGGACATTGTGGATTAAACTTACATTCCTATTGAGCTAAATCTGGGAGTTTAAGACTGCACTGTCAAATCTTAAACACTGACTTTAATTAAATGTATTATGTCAGCAGATTTCACATAACTGTATTAGGTTAGTTCAAAGCAATCATATTAAGTTCAACCTATTCTTTTGTTCAACAGAATATTATTGCTTTCTTCTAACCTAATACAGTCAACGTGTTTCTGATATCTGGTTGCAACACAACCCGACATTCTGCAGCCCTTTCACAGACCCCAGCGACTTGAGGCATGGGGGACCCTCTGATGGACATCAACTTGTTGAGCTGGCACATTTTGAAGGGGCACGGGGGGGTTTGAGGAGGAGTCTTCTCAGAACTGCCCTTTCCAGCCCCCAGCTCTGCTCACAGCTGTTGCATGATTGATGCTCCCCCCCAACCTGTCAAACACTCCTGTCTGTGTATGCCTCCAGAAAATGCCTCCCCATGGCTGCACCCATATGTCTCATTTTCTCAACTTTGCATATGAATAGCATGGACAAACGTTCCAAAAACAAAAGCATTTCTTCCTCCCTCCCCCTCATCACAAACTATATATATATGTATGTTTTTGGAACTTCTCTCCTCATCTGTATTCAGCGTGGATTTAGATTTCCGTGTCCCTACATCACATCTTCTTCTCATTTCCTCTCAATCCTCATAGACACATTCTTAATCGCTATGTGCAGAGATCCAGCTCACTGTTTTGCTAAGGCCTCGATATGGTAGCTTTAGAAACCCCTATTTAAAAAGATCTGTCAATCAAGCTATTTGTTCAGGCAGTGCAAATTCATTTTCAATTACTATTCACTCCTGGTCTGGATGAGGCTTGAAAAAGGAGATCACAGTGTCTCTTGGTCACAGCGACTTAATCCGCCGATGAATGAAGAAATGCACGTACAGAAAGCCGTGCAAAAATTGCGCCGGGTGAATGAGGAGGGGGCGAAGCTATTCATACAAGAAGTCAAAAATACATATTTACATATAATGGTATGGGGTCATCAAGTGTAGACCCGAAGTTAATGAAAATGAATAATGGAAAGTGTGCATTAGGCAACTTCAGTAATTACTGCGTTACTTGGCCAAGGTGATTACCCAGGGGGCAACAGCCAGAGGACACTTTCTCCTGTTCTCCTCACGCTGCACATGAGTCCTTGATAAGCAGGAGATGTTGGAGTGAAGCGTTAACATCCGATGGGGATGGTTGGAGCAGTGAGTAATGGACCTGTCTCTCAGAGCAGATCTGTGCGGCTGCCTCTCTTCTACACAGACTCGGAGGTGTGTGGTCATTGGCCAGCTTCAAATGAGCTTAGCCTGAGTTATGTTCTTGTTTGTGTCAGACGCTGATGTGTTCAACAGACAAATCTGAACTCTGTAAAGAACTTAAACATGTTCAAATTGGGCTTACTGGTTTCACTCACCAAAACATTTGAAATTCCTACAAATCAGGCAATTTTCTACCTCATTTGAACAATTAGACGTTCAAATTGCTGCATTGCCTCTTTATGTAAAGCCACTCGATATAACTCCTCAGCAGCAGCTGCAGCCACAAGGCGACAGCTCTTTGATAATGACACTAGATTTCCCTTTAAAGACACCATCATTAAAGGCCTGACTCTCTCACTACAAGCAGCCATCATGTTCTCCTGCTGAGGTGCACAATGTTTACTTCTTTTACTTTGGAGATTAAACTATTGAAATTATAATGTGTGAAATAGTAAATAGTGTCAGTTACACAACAATACACAATCTGTCTGAAGCGTTCTATTGTTAGCCACGTAGCCGTCACTGTTCTTTGGTTCTTGTTTTAATGTTCATAGTTGAGTTGATGAAAGGTTTTTCAGATCACCTGTTGGCTGCTAATCAAGAGCTGAGAGCAGCGCCATGTGTTTCCACTCTGGGCCAATCGGATTGAGAAGACGCCCATTCCTACGGGCTACAGAGAGGAAGAGAACTACACACCCTCCACTTCATGCAAACGGTTTCAGCAGATCATTCTGATTTGTCATTATTATTATTATTAAGAGTTTTAAAGAAAAAAGTAAAAAAAAGACATGCAAAAGAATCTGTCACTGTTCTGGAGAGCGTAGATCCAGCTACTGGAGCCGGAACCTAAAAGGGATTTGCTCAAATGCAAAATAGAAGGTTGATATTTGAATGATTATGATAGATAATTGTTTTGGTAAATCAAAGCTGCTTATGAGAGCAACACTTCTAATGGTATGATCATTTTCTTCATGCTCTAACTTACCAAATGTTTTAATTAAAATATGTTATTGATGGCTATATCTGCTCATTTATATAATTACCATCCACCCAGCATAAACATCACTTTTTAGTGCAAAAGAACTTGAGAAACGATGATAGATATTCCCCAGGCAGAGACAGAGATGATGCTCAACAAGCTTTAAAGACACACATAAATGGCATAGAATATATATTTATATATTTATATTGTGAACATTGTTTTATCCAAACTCCAAACCATTCCACACACACACACACACACACACGCACACACACACACACACACACACGCACACACACACACACGCACACACACACGCACACACACACACAACACCCACACACACACACACACACACCACACACACCACACCACACACACACACACACACACACGCACACACACACACACGCACACACACACGCCACACACACACACACTACACACACACACCACCACACACACACACACACACAACACACACACACACACACACCACCACACACGCACACACACACACACACACACACACACACACGCACACACACACACACATACTCTGACTTGGCCTACTTTGTGTGTTCAGGGAAAAAGCGCCACTGCTCAGGATGTATACCAGGCATGCTGATTTCCCCGCATATCCATATGTTTTTTTGTTGTATTTAATCAACAGGAAATGGCACAAAATAAATTACCACAATCTTAAATGTTATTTATCTTCATAGATGTGTTAAAACAGGAAGGACCAGGATACGCATTGGGCAGCCTGTGGGCCTATCAGGAGTCCTGTGATACATTATCAGCAGCATGAATGCTCAGAGGTGCTCAGATGATGTTTAGGGGGCTGTTTACCTCCACAGATAACGCACAGTGTTAACATCCCCTGCTGGGCTGTCACACTCCTGCTCACAGTAGCTGGAGGAAGCAGGGAAAGGAAAACAAAGCATGCAGAAGCACCTTGAAGTAAACTTGTTTCAGAAGGGGTTTGGAGCAGATCAGCCCCCCCCCCGTTTAAATAAGCCACCATGGCTGTCACAGAGCTGTGACACTGGCCAGGACAGATGCAGACTGCCGCCCGCCGCTGACTGTAATTGCAATCTTTCAGACGGGAAATGGCAAATTGCTCCTCTCATCATTAGCAACCAGCTGAGACAGAAAACAGACATGCAAGCCGGCAAACATAATTATAATGACACACTGGGACTGCCTTGGAACACATGTGGACTGACTCCAGGTCTGGGCTCCGGACTGATTTCCCCTTGCATGTGATGCTGTTTAAAGGGATCTGCGCTGTGTTTACCTAGCAATGGCGAGGCAGACTTACTTGTGCAGGCCACAGAGGGGGGGTCAGACAGGGCCCGGTAGTACCCGTCCTCACAGTCGCAGCGCCAGGAACCCTCGCGGTCGTTGAAGCTGTGCGCCGGGCAGCGAGAGCACTGCAGGTCCTGGGAGGAAGACTTGTAGAAACCTCGACTGCACGCTGGAGAGGGGGGAAGAAGGGAGGAGGTCAAGAGAGGACTAACAAGTGAATCAGCAGCACCTCCTGCACACGGCTTTACTGTACCGTATGTTTCCTATGCTTTTTAACTGCCCTCAGTGATGTATTTGGAATTAAAGGTCAAATGAATCCACTTTTAACCAAAAAAGCAGAGTTTAAATAAAATACTTATTTGAGTAGCTGAACTTGTTTCCTTCTCACACATACTCATGTCCCCTTATTCATCTTGAATCCTTAGATTTGCCTCGACCCCAGAGGATAATATTAACCCCAGATTAAGAAATATCTGTTCATTGTTTTACATCTGAATAGTAAATAAAAATGCACGCAATGGAAGAAGGATAAAAAGGATGATGTCAAAGCAAGAGGACTCAATTGGAAACACTTTGTGAACACTTTGCCTTGACCCCAGCGGAAAATATGAACTGCAATTAAAAACATACATATTTAAAAAAATACTATTCTTCCAATATTCCTTCGTTTTTTATAAGGATGCCTTACATTTAGTTATTACAAAATGGTTACCAAGATATGTGACGAGCAGTAGTCAAATAAATCAATTGAAGAAGAAACTCCACGGATACTCAGAGCAATAAACCCCAGTGTGTGTAAGCCAGTTTCACATGGCGTCATTACAGATCCCTGAATGTCTCCAGGTGATATTAGTCCTCTGCAAACACTGCCTCTGAACACAGTTCCCATGCTGAGGAGGGCATGACAGAACAAATGACTGCGTTCACATGAATCAGCAAGTACCCCCCCCCCCCCCCTTCGGCAAGCAGACTGAGCCATGAAAAAGCTTCACAAATCTCAGGTTGAGGAATTCTCCTTGGATACATTACAACAACTTCAACAGGTAAAAAAAGGTTATTTTGATTCTGATGAATGCTCGGGCAGGAAGGAGGTCCGACTTGTTTACAACAATCTGTGAGAGGAAGCATTCTTCAGCACAGATAAGAGTTCATTTCCAGCACATGGGTCATTTCAACATTCTACCTTTGACCAACACGATAAACAAAGACTGACTCTGGAGAAATCGTCATAACGATTACACCCAAATGATTTACCCACCCAACGATGAGTAGCCACTCCCATGACAGCTAGTAATGACGAACACAGAATGTTAACGTCATAAAGTACTGATTCATAGCATCCTCACTGTGAATCACAAGCCTTTGTTGAGTTGATGCTTGAATACCGGTAAATAGTAAAATGTCTAAACTCGTTCTGGGTATTTTGGCTTGGGGCACTGAAAAAACTGAAACGCATGTCAACACATGTCATTACAATAAGATTGAATTAAAGTCACTGTGTCAGTTTTTCAGGGAGGTGGACCTATCCGTAGTGAATGCTGTGTGCTGAACAGAGCTGGTGAGGAACTGCAGAATCCAGGCCACATGATTCCTTCACTGATCTGAGAGAAATCTATACTGTGAATAGCTCCGCATACAAACGATCAAATCATCAAAAGAATCTTTCATGATCCACAGGAGGAAATGAGCGATGATTGTCATACTGGCTCTCCCCCCAAACAGATATTGGTTGCGATTTCTTTAGTTCTCTTTCCAAGGAAATATATTGGCCACCACCTCCTGTGACAGGTCCGGAATGAGAAGGATGGAGGAATCGGATTTTCCTGTTTTACCACTTCCACAGCGGCGTGAGGGGGGGGGGCTCAGGGTATCCCCATTTCAGAGACATGAAAGCCCTGTCACTCTCCATTTATCGCTCTGCCACAGCCTCGTGAAACAAGAGGAAAAAAGACATGATTTGATCTCTAATCTCTCTTTACCTTTCAGAGCCGGTAATTGAAAACAGAGCCATGAGGAGATTGGAGCGGTGGGTCTTGAATGCTGACCGTGCAGATGGTATAAACACAGTCCACAGTGCATGCTCATCATAATGTGCTTTTTACTGCGTGTTCACTTCTGAGGAGCGATGGCATTGCATAAACAGCTAAAGAAACCATGTGTAGGTGGAGGGTAAACACCCCCCATGTGGATAATGAGCCTGAAGGGCTTTCTGCAGCAGGTTAGAGAGAGGCTGGGTCCCGTTTAAGAGCGTACTTTCTCCCACTCTGCAGCGCTGCTTAAACATTCTGATAAGCCAGCGTGTGTGTTTGCCTTTGGGTTTCTGAGAGCTCCTCTGCTGGGGGACCGCTGCTATCTCCCATCGAGACCCCCGCTCCGGCAGACAAGAGCAACCACAGCCCAGATTAAGATGAGCACCAGGCGGGGAGGGGGGGGGGGGGCAGTCGAGAGTAGACTCAACTTCACCAGATAACTGAAATATATGACTACTTATCTCTTATGCTGTATGCAATACCCTAACTCAGGATACCAGCCGATACCGTGCAAATACATATCATTTATCACCAGCTGAAAAGCATTCAAAACACTAAGGAAAGCCACAGTGTTTTTAAACTTCAAGACAACTAAAATATCTTTGTTTCATGTGCTCTCCTCCTTTTATTAAATTGTGTTCGACATTTAAATCTAAAGTAAATCTTTGCTATTGTATTTGTCAGGGACCATGTACTAAATCATTACCATCACACTCTGGATGTTTCTTTCCAGATTCACTTACAAGCCAGTAAAGTAGCTTTTCTCCAGAGTTTCACCATAAAGGCATATTACTATTGTCTTATCAAAATGCATTTACTTGAATCACTTGCAGTGCATGCCTCGGTACCAGCAGTAGATTTCTGCATACAGCTCATGGCATCAAACTGAAGGCAAAGAACTGAAAAGTGTTTAGCGTGACGGATACCTAATCTGTTTAACACAGGCAGTGTCAGAACTGTGCTAATGTACCCGTCAGCTGTTTACCATCTGTCTGCTCGTCTGACTGATCGCCTTTCTTCTCCTTTGAGAATTTCTGTTGCCATGATCCACATGCTAGGAAATTACTTTGGTGAATTTGTGTTGGAAACTTGGAAAACAAAAGCCCGGTTTAAATAAAGTGGACTTGCCCTTTAACTCAAGCTCACAAACACAACACTGTTCATTGTCCATGCTTCTTATCCAGCTACAGACGGGGTGTTTACCAGTATGTCCGACTGTGTTTGGCACCCGGAAATGTTTACAGAAGCAACAAGGCGGCAAATGAGGCCTCAAAAATCCAATGCCTGTATGACACAGGGAGCTAAGTGCTTCTGCAGCCCCCCCCCCACTGGCAGAGCATTGAGTGACAATTACAAACACAGCCGTCCCAGCCCAGCATTTTCCAGCAGAGTGCTGCACCCTGACTCGCTGCTGGGGACTTCCTGTTTCCTGCCCCCAGAGGCTGAGGAGACCCCTCAATCTGTGACACCGAGATGAGAAGATAGTGAGTGAGGGGTCCTTTGTCGGGTCTCTCCTCAGCAACACCTTGCAATTGTATACTCTAAGTTTTCAAATGTATATTCATTATTTTCTTCATATTGTGTATTATTTAGATCAGAGGTATATTGCCTCATAAATTAGATTATAAATTAGCTAAATCAATCAAATGCAAGTACAATATTCTTGATACTTGGATATGCTTTAAGTAAAAACCGCCTCCATCACAGCTCTCCAGAGGGTTTACTTTATTTTGTCACAGAAAGAGTTGCAGCTCATTCCTTGAAACAGAAGCCTCAGATTGCTTATAATAAGGGGAAATATGAAGGGTCTATTTCAAGCTGGTTATGCAAATAACTTTTTTTATCAACTAAGATTTGTATGAATGTTTTCAAGTTTAATTGACTGAATTATTTGAACATTAGACCTATTAACACATGAATACTATGTTATATATTTGTACATATGTACTTGAGAAGTACAATATAAGACAAGCACAAGTTCCATGTTTGGGCCATATTCCATTGCACTTTTAGAATTGGCCATTTCAAAATGGACAACGGGCTGCAGTTGGCCCCCGGGCCGTGGTTTGGACACCCCTGATTTTGTGATATAGTCTTTTCCACTGTCAGTTTGTATATATTTGCGGTTTCTATGATCATATTTGTATCTTATTATATCTTGTAAATATGTGTAACTTGTGTCATGCTTGACAACACTGCTGCCGAGAAAAAAATAATTTCCCATTTTAGGATGAATAAAGTATCTACTGTATCCATCTATTAATCTATCTTTCCTGCTGAGTGGAAATATCAGTTTATCCTGTGAGAGCTGAACAGAAGAGAGGCGGACACACACGGACACACACGGACACACACGGACACACACGGACACACACGGACACACGGACACACACGGACACACACGGACACACAGACATGCTGGAACATCAGACTCTCTGCTGTTTCCACTGACTTAAAGTCCAACGTGGAATTCCATTTGTAAGGATAGGTGTGTGAGAGTCACTTTGTAAAAAAGGGCCATTTCAGTGGGGCTGGTCCTCTTCTGGCACAGAAAGGGACACTGATAGTGTGGACTTGTTGACACGGCCCGATAAAAAGCTCGGCGGCAGACACAATAGTCGTCTTATTTACGACACTGAGAAATTAGTCAGCCCTCAGAGAAGCTGAGGTTAAGCAGAGAGAGGGAAAATACAAGTCTTACATTCCAGCCAGGAGACAGAGCCAGCATCTGTAATTTCCTTCCAGCGGTCAGGCACTTTCATTCAGTGATGTGTGGGGGGGGGGGGGGGGGGGCAAGCTGCAGTCTGCAATCTTTGGAGAGAGGAGGAGGAGCCCGACTAAGAAGAGCTCCTCGGAGGAGTGGGATAGAGATAATCAAATGCTTCTGTGACTTTAGTGTCTAAATCTCAGCACAAAATGGCCAGCAGAATAAAACAATGTCTCCTTATCTTATTCAGACACACATTTAAAAAAAGAGGGTAAACAGATTTCTGTATTCTTTAAGAATCTTAGTTTGTTTCTTTTCCCTCTGAGCTGCGCTTATTCACATTATTGTCATTTCTCTCACGCGTTGGCAGTGTCATGACACTCGGGTTGAGGGGCAGAGGGAGGTGGGGGGTTAGGGCGATGACTCCTTATG